GCAAAGACCTTTATAGCATTGACCCGATTGACTTACCCGAAGAAGACGACAAATATACGGAAGATGGGACGCTCGATTATCGCAACAAACCAGCCGTGAAGCTCGAAACAGGAACATGGAAAGCTTGTCCTTAACAGAGTAAAAGGGGATACAGGATACAAAACAAATCCATTGGCCTCCATAGTTGTTGATATTTGATAGTTTTACTACAAAATCCAGTGAACAAACGACAAGAAATTTCGTAAATAGAGCACTATGAGTAGTCTAATTTCCAGCATTTCTAGAAACCCATCAACAAAACAAGAGAAGTGATACTTTATATATTTCATATTCCGTTTATATTTAACCAGAGCACTTGGATGGAAATGTAACAACTAAAATCACCAAACCCATATATCGATGTTGTGCGTGAAGTTCATATCAAGAAACACAACAGGATTCAGAAAGAGCAATATACTTGAGTTCAACATACCGGGATTTTTGGGTCCTTTTTATCAACAAACCCATATATCTATGCTGCGTGTTTGAAATAACCTTGAACCTGCAATATCCATGGTGTTATTTTATCTAAGAACCGAGAGTCGGGGTCCTTTTTAACAGCTCTCAAAACGTGCTGCCAGAGAATACTTAGTTGTAATTAAACAGGGAATTTTATTTCAGAGTTGAGACAAGCAGCAACCAACATCTCCCAGAGCTCAAAAACATCCAGAATACTTTGGCCACAACAAAATATTGAAGCACCTGATAACAAATTTTAACACACACACACACACACCATCTAGCTAAGAGCCGAGGGGAGGAAAAATGGAGAGCTTGAACTCGGCAGCTCGGGCAGTTTGACTTTGGCCCTCCTGGCGTTTGTTTATGACGTCATGGATCCGTTGGGCCGACCACGCTGCAGCAGAACTACAACGATACAAGTCCAACAGTTGCAGGCTTGGTGCATCCGCCAGCCCAGAAGGAATCCCTGCTAGCTGCTCGCAGTTCATCAGCTTGAGCCGCCTGAGACGTGGGAAGTGGTGCTTGCCCGAGGAGGCCTTCCACACGACCAGGTTCATCCGCCCGATGGACGTGCTCCAGGCAACGGAACCCGCCAACGCCTGTATCCCAGTACTTCCCCTCGAAAGCCTGGTCCTTGAGCTTGAGCACCTCAAGGTTGTCGAGCAGGCCCAAGACGGACATGTAGGCCCAGTCAAGCATCGTGTAGGACAGTGTCAGGCTCCGGAGTTTCGGTGGAAACTTGTAGTGCTGGGGGAGGAACCGCAGCGGGTACACAGAAAGCTGGGTGGGGTACACGTCGTTGATGAGCTTCAGTTTTTCGAGGCCTTCCATCTTGGCAAGGCTTTTGAACGACCCGACCTTGGCTTCTAGAAGCAGGGCCAGGTGGCCCTGGACGCGCAGCTTCTTCAGGTTGCGGGCCTGATTGAAGATTTCCTCCGTGCAGCTCTCGGGCGAGATGAGGCCAAGGGTCTGGAGATTCTCCCCCTCTCTGCCTGCGGTCTTGGGCGTGGGCAAGGATGTGATCGCGTTAGTCTTTATATGCCTCAGTCGGGTCATTTCCCAGATATTGGCTTTGATATCGAGCGCCCTGGACGTGTTCTGGACCACCAGGGTCTGCAGGTTCAACAGCTTGGAGAAGGAGGAAGGAAGGACGGCCGAGTCGAAGAACAGCAATGATTTGCCTCGTATCAATCCAATCCTTCAATCCAAGTTCCCCTCATGGATTACTTGGACGAGAGATCGAGGCCAGTGCCAGGGTACACTCTCACCTCTTTCCCTGTCAATTATTACGCATAAAAATGAAGATGGATAGTGTTACTACCAAAGCCATAGTGAATAAGGACGATAAAATTTGTACATAGAGCACTATGAGTTGTCTACTTTCCAGCATTTCTATAAACCCATCAACAAAACAGGAGACGTGATAACTTTATCAATTTCATTTTCCGTCTATATTATTAATCAGAGCACTTGGAAGTGTGGCATGGGTTATAACTCCGAATAAAATATTACTATTCGGGGCTAATACATCAGGCCAATCTTGCTGTTGCATCATGTATAATAAAATATGTATTGTTTGGTGAAACAACTAAAATCACCAAACCCATATATCGATGCTGTGCGTAAACTACTTCATATCCAGAAAACACAACAGGCCTCAAAAAAGAGCAATATACTTCAGTTCAACATACCTCTATTGAGCTTAAGAATCAGGACTTTTGATTTAACATTTAATTCTGTAAACTGCTCTTCTCAAAGTATTACCCAGATGAGTACCCTCTTCAGCACTCACTCTTCCTGAACAAAATTAATGTAGCTGCATGAGAAAAAACAATTTATTTTTCAGAACAAAATTAATTCATATAAACGAAAATGTAGATCCTAATAAAGAATATATCAATTAGTAAGACACAACAACTTAACTTAACAATAGCGCACGAGTGAAAAATCATTTTGGCCGTCCCAAATGAATGACTGCTCTCACGAGTATATTCCACGTAACTATAGTTGGGGCGATTTTATTCGTCAAGGCATTCTGTAAGAACACAATGGCGCCTGATATTCTATCGCAAGAACAAAGACCTTTAAGAGTAATGTTATACGAAACAATATCCGGCTGTATACCAAATCTTAATATCCGAGCCCAAACCACCAATGCATTCTTCAAGTCATTATTTTTGTAAAAACCTTCCATAAGGGTATTGTGGGTAACAAGACTCGGAACACAGTCCCAGCGATTCATGTCCAAATATAAGGACAGAGCAAACCGAGTTTTGCCAAAAGAACACAGACCGTGAATCATTATGTTATGCATCTGCACATCAGGTTTGATGCCTTTGCTGATTACCTCGTTCCACAAGTTAAGAGCCAAGTGTACTTTATGACCCAAGAAGAGACCTTTTATCAACACACTATAAGTAACTAAGTCTGGCTTACATCCTTTATCAAGCATTTCCTTCACGAGGTCATAAGCTTCAGCAAACCTTTCATTTTTGCACAATCCATTAATCAAAGTATTGTAGGTCACGATGGAAGGTGAACAATGCATGCTTTGCATTTCACGAGAAGTCCTAAATGCATCCTCAAATCTAGAAGCACCTACAAAGCCATTAATTAAAGCATTATAAACAGGAGCATTTGGCTTACACCCACTTTTAGCCATTCTATTCAGCACAGAAAGTGCCTCATCCAACTTTGCTTCTTTACACAGCCCATTAATTATTGATGAATATGCATAAGCATCTAAAACACCTTTCCCCTTGGCATTCTCGAACACATGTAAACTCAGGTCAAAATGTCCATTTTTACAAAACCCATTAACTAAAATTCCATAAGTTGTGGAGTCAGCAGCAAAACCATTCTCCTTCATAAGCTCCCAGATGGAAATTACTTCATCAACCTTCCCATTATCGAGAAGCCCTTTCATCATTATATTAAAACTACTGATATTTCGACTACCCTTCCTTCCCATCTGTTCCCACAGCTCAAGACAGTTATTAGTCCTCCCAACCTTGAAATAACCAGTCAACATAGCATTATACACAGCAGCATCAGGTGACACATTAGATTCAGCCATCTCCTTAAAAATCCTCTCCGCCCCTACAATATCCCCCGAGCAGCATAACCCATGAATCAAAGCACTGTACGTGAACAAATCCATTTTCTGCTTGTTATTCCTCATCCGGTCCCGAAATTCCAGGGCCTCACTAAACCTTCCGCACCTGCACAGGCCACTGATGAAAACATTGTACGTGACAACGCTCGGATAAACCCACGAATCCTCTATCAACCTCCTCCAAATCCCATCGGCCGCCTTATAATCATCTTTCTTGAAAAACCCATCTATTAAAATGTTATAACACGTAACATCTGGCCTCACGCCTCTCTCCAGCATATCATCAAACACCTTCACGGCTTCCTTCAATTCCCCAACTTTCGCCAACCCATTTATCAGAGTGCCATAACTATAAACATCCGGAGCCAATCCATGCCCCCATATACCATCCACCAGCTCACGCGCGCTGTCGAAATCCCTCTTACGACACGCGACCTTGATCAATATATTAAACGTCTCGAGATTCGGAGACACGCCCATCGTCCGGAAATGCCTGAAGAAAAGCTCGGCCTTACTCAGCTGATTCGAAACCACAAACGCGTTTAGAAGACAATTATAAGACCTCACCCCGGGTTCGCACCCGAATATCTCCTTCATTTTCTGGAAAATCTCCATGGCTCTCTCCGCCATGGAAACCCGCGAATAAATTTTCAAGACTGATAAAGCCGTGTCCTCCGTACAGGGGCATTTCTGGGCTCGGATGAGTTCGACAATGTGGGTGACGTCAGGAATGAGTTTGAGGTCGCCGGAGGCGGAGAGGCGGCGGAGGATGTGGTCGAAGACCGCCGGGGAGTGGTTGTAATCGGGGTGACCTCCGGAAGTGTAGAACAAGCTGAGGGCGGAGCTGAGATTCTTCTCCGATTTGAGAAGCTGAATCAGGCGTTTGGGAGTCGGGTTTTGGGGCAGCTGTGCCATGAGAGGAAAATGAAGCTTGCTCTGTGGATACTCGATATTTATACTGCGCGGTAAGGTTAAATTATTTTGGGGGAAAATATACGGAGTACTACATTTTATGACAGTCAAGAGAATTCTCTATATTCTCCTTTTGCCCTAAAATTTCTTTACAAATTCAAAATAAGACCATCAAGCCCAATGTGAAATAAGGTTGTACCGGTTGGGCCCCGTTTCCAGGCCCAAATCCCCGAAAGGGCAGGGCCCATATGCTGGCCCAATAATTCCAAGTGGTTGGGCATTTGGGATTGGCCCACTCAAACCGGCCCAAAAGCCACCGGATCAATAGCAATTATCGGTAACGGAAGGCCCAACTCATGCTCGTGTGGGTCCCCCGGATCGCTCGGTTGAGAGGCCGACTCTTCGGCGTGATTTGGGCTCCGCTTTCTATTCTTGGAAATTCGACGAGATGGGTGATCGGGTTTCTGAGTCGTGGTCGGTGAAGGAGCAAAAGCATTTCAAGTCTATCGTGAAAAAAAGGCCACGGGCCAACGGGAAGAGCATCTTGAAACGCACGTTAAAATGTTTAACCGATAAAAAGGGGAAAGACATTGCGAATTATTACTTCAATTTCTACATTCCTTGTTGAATGTTCGATTTCGTAATAAGGCAGGTTGACACGGATGAGGATGAGGCAGATGATTTTCAAGTATATAGACGTGCGTAAAAAAGATTAAACGAGTCATATCAAATCCGATATCGAGGATGTAAACGGAAGGTATTTGTGTCGTGTTTATTGGGGTTGACTTGGAAGTCGAAAAACTTTCACTTTTTTAATCTGCGATTAAAAAAAAAAAAAAAAATACTTAGGATATCTTATTATATATTGGCAGTTGTGACAATTGTGTACTTAGGATTGTCGTGTTTTGTTTACGTAAAAAGATTAAAACAAGCCATATCAAACCCGATTCTGAGGATGTGGACGAGAGGTATTTGTGTCATGTCCATTGGGGTTGACTTGGAAGTCGAAAAACTTTGACTTATTTAATCTTTGAATTTTTTTTTTACTTTTACTTCTAATATCTTATTGTATATTGGTGGTTGTGACAATCGTGTACTTAGGTTCGAAAAATGTTGGCAAAAGGGAGCTTTGCAAGTCTTGTTCATGATGCTCTATGTGGAAATACACAATCTTTGGGTCTTCATGGTGTTCTGTAGAGCTTTTGGTAATGAAGAAAATGCATAGAATTGTTGTTTGATTCAAGATAAAACTGAAATAAGGAGAAAACAAAAAAAAAAAAGTGACTTTAGTGTTGTTTGGCTTAGCGTTATGTTGTTTGATAGTTTTGAACTTGAGTTTTTCAAGTGTTGTGTGGATGTATTTTTTCCATGTGCTATTATAATACATAAGTGTGAATTTATGTAGATGTTGATTGATTTAATGGTGAATGATTTGATTTTATACATTTCTATATGTTTTATTTAGATTTTAATTATGGATGTGTATTGGATATGTGTTTATTTGAAAATTGTTCACTCTAGGAAAGTAATAGTTATTCACTTTCAAAATTTTAAAATGTGAAATGCTTTTCATCTAATATGTAAAGTGATGTGATAACAAAAATATTATAATCTGAATTATATAAATGATTGATTAGTAAAACAAGATTGATAAGATAACTTGGTAAAATTATGCAAATGAATAGTAAATCAGGTTGTGTTTTGGATTATTTGGCTTCATGATCCCATTTTTGTTTTTTCAATGTTAGATGACTTAGATCAATTCAGATATAAGTACCTCTCTAAACGGTGGAATAAAAAGTTGAAAGTTAAAATGGGAATTGAAAATCATGAATTATATTATGGTATTTGACAGTTAAGTGTGAAATTCTTTATTAGTCACAACTGTAGATAATTTTACTCATACTGCTAAAATACCAGAATAGTTTTCAGTGGGCGTTTTGTGGGAATATATCTAATAAAATGTTTTACAATACCAACTGTAGATATTTATTTTTCAAACATGAAGATTTTGATAAGACAAAAAATATTATTTCAATTTATATACTCTTAAAAGTTTTACCAAATTGTCACAGTGTGAAAAAAGAAAATGTCTGATACCTCAAACAGTTTTTCAATTTGCATATTTGATCGAGGAAATTACAACTTGCATTGCCTTTTTGACAAACATAGATGATATTTTATTTATTTAAAAAAACTGTATTCTCCACCGAAAGATGAAAAAGGACCATAATTGCTGCCTATATATATTATACATTTACATACCTTCGTATTTGTTTTCTTCATTTTCTTGGTCCAAGGATGTATTTTCTTGCCACTTTTTGACTTTTACTTAAATGTATTGTGGTTTACACGTATAGCAATTAGCAAACCAAATAAAGAGAGTAAACTAAATTATGAATTTTAGTCGGGTGATTTAGTTTTATACAAAAATACTTAATTCACACGTTTCTTCTGTATCTTACCAACCAATCTCATTTTCAGCTCACTTTATTTTAATATTTACAAACTATACTAACTTTTATTGTTACATTTTACTAGCATGTTTTCTTGTTCTCCTTTTATGTAATAGTCCCAATAAATTTTGGAAATAAATAAATCTAGAGAGTATGTTTGAACATAATAAACTATTTTATAACTTATATTTAGCTTCTAAGTTTTTTTTTTTACTTCAAATAAGCTTAATTTAATATGATAGACTTAAAAATAAATAAATAAACTCCATCTTTATCTTCAACGCTTTTCTATGTAATTTCTTAAAAAGCCACTTGAAATTCTTTTCAACTAACTTATAAACTAATTTTATTAAACACTTTTAATTTATCAACTTTTCAATCATTAACTATCAACTATAAGCTGAAAATTAATATAGAAACTACAAATTAACTTATAAGCTACAATGTATTTTTTCAACTAAATTTTATCGTATTTGCACATATATAACCACAAGAGGGAATAAGTATCAATGCTGTTTAATTAAGTTTTACAGGTATTATTTACTGACCAGCTATAGCATAATAGCAGACCAAAGTATACAAACACCATAAAGGTAAAAAATTGCATAATAAAGTAGAAACAAAGTCCCACATAATACAAGAATTGCGCGTGCTAGCACGAAAATACATCTATAAAGGAAAGGAATTTAAAGAGCATATTGAGAACACAAATATTCAAAAAAAAAATATATTTATCCTATGAAATGTCATACTTTTATCTGTATTATATTTTAACTGAAATTTTTTCGTAAGACCAGTTTAATAGTAGCATTTATGAGAATTGTATGTTATCCAATTCCTGAGACAAATCTCCCCATTTTTTTCAGTTTTTGTTCGACCAAATTATTATGTCTTCATTCTTTTTCATTTTTTTGGTGGAATGTCCACTTTGTTTTTGAAACAAAATGGGCACAAAACTAAAAAGGGTTTGAAAAAACAGAACTCATTCTTCAGTTTTCCACATTCAACAACTTTGGCATTGACAAAATTGATGAACATAAACACGAATGTTTTTACCTGCCCAAGTAAGGTTATCCTTTTCTACTTTACTAGATTAATTTCATTATTTTTCTTCTTTTAGAAAGACAGTCAAAATAAATATGTAGACTTGTGATATCTAACTCGTGCAAGGATTCGACCCTACCAATATGGGCCTACACCAACATTTGAACCGTTAGATTATATGCGTACACATATTATGTCGGTATGTATTTGATCTGACGGTTCAAATTTTTGTGTGGAAAGATAGGGTGCAATTAGTATTGTTAAATTAAACGAATCTGACTCGACTTAGCTTGAGCCCAAATTTTGGTGAAGATGGCTTGTTCAATTCTACTTGTGACAATAATTATCGAATTTTTTACTATCATCAACCCATAAGAAAACGATTTTCCCTATGGACCCATCTATTTCACTTACTTCAAGTCTTCAACTGATGCAAGTGATGTGTATCCACATTTTAATCCGAAAAATTCGCCTTTGTACAAATCAAATCAGATAAAAAGGAAACCGATGCAGAAAGCTGGAAAATGTGATGACATATAAAGTCCCTTATTGATTTTACCATGACTATGAAAGAAAAGGAAGAAAAAAAAAAAGTAAACAACTTTGATTGCAGCCATTTGTGGAGCAATCAACTCAGTGAGTCCTCAACATTTTCACAAGTCAGATGATAAAAAATAAAGAACACAATCATTAATCTTTAATCCTCTTTTAGTTTTCTTTTTAGGCCCCAAATTTTTGCCATTCCCAATTTCTCTCAAACTAACCTACTTAGCTCAATTGCATCACACATTGCATTCTAGGAAACAAAGGCCTCACAAAGAGAATGCTAAGAAATCATTCAAAACACAGTAAATAGAGTAAAAAACAACTATGAAGTCATGGCCAAGTGTTAGAGACAAAGAAACATTCAAATCCACTCATTATTGAACCAAAAAAAGGAAAAGTATATATTCTGATCAAAGATTCAAAATGTATTCAGAAACAACAAAGTTTGTCCTTCGACCTAAGTACACCATAAAATGCCCCAAAGAAGAAAAAAAAAAGTAAAGAAGAAAGGAGTAAAAGGAACTTAACTGTAAAAAGATGGAACAAAAAAGACTATCCTGGCTTCGGGCGAAAATCTCAATACAGCCTCATCACACTCCTCCCAACCGAATGCGGGTTCGCGGGCTTCACTTTACCCGTCCCACCTCTTCGATTGGCCCGTGTGGGGGTCAAGTAAAATCGCAAAAGCCCGTTATCCAAATGGCTCGGTGAATACCTCGCGTTATTCCTGTTTTTATCAACAACTGTAAAATCGCTCCTCCTCCCGTTATTATTATTATTATTACCATACGCATCCACACTCGATCTCCTCCCGTTCACAAAAGCGGGCCCAAACGGGCCCGCGTGCCTCCAGCTCACGCTACTATTGCTCCTCGCCACATTTCGACTAAGCCCGTTATTATTATTCCCTTCCCGCCTCAATTCTTGCCATGACTGAGACCAAGATCGATCGACTCC